ATAATAATGTGTGTGTGTGTGAGAGAAAGAGTGTATATATGTATATATAATTAGTATAAATGTCCATTTATACCATAATAGATTTTTATTATTTTTGTTTATTTGAAACTTCACTGGTTTCTCTTCTCACATTCAAGGCAGCCTTAAACGCATCTTTTAAAGACTTTAACCTCTGAAACTTGCAGAGATACGCTATCCTGCAACCATGGTGGCTGACCCTTAGTAATGTGACAGGAGTCATGGGGCCAGTCAGACACAGTGAGGGGCCAGGGAGAGAACTCTATTTTGGTTGTGGTCTGTAAACACCCACTGTGGCTATCACCTTGTCGTTTTAAACTATCAGCATTGTGTTGTTGAAATGGCCCTGTCTATAACAGAATGTGAAGCTTCATAGATACAGACACACTGCTATCACTCCCACATGACACACTACATTAGTGTGCAACATGCGTCTTAGCAATCACGACACAGCTTGAACTGGGCTCTAGTGAGTGTTGGCATACCGACAACACATTACTGAAACCTTGTATCACCATATTGTTTTTTTCTCTAGGTCTGATAAATGGTGTTTTGGTACATTTTGGAAAATGTTTGATGCACTAGATTATAAGCAAAACCACTGAAAATGCAATATAATGCCTGGATGTCAACATTGAACATGAGGTACTTTTTTTGTACAGGAAACGAACAATATAATCCTATTTTTACTTTTACTTTTACAAGTCCTGTTTTATGATAACATTATACATTGAAGGCAAATACATCCACTTACATTCACACATATCATCTGCTGTTTCTCTCATTTCCACATGACTGATTCCATCAGTGTCAAACACAGATATTAGCAGAAATGACACTGCTTAGTTTCCTGGCTCCAGCTGGATGACATATGACAGCCACAGATAGACAGACAGATATGTGGGCTAGCTTGTTGGCTAGCTCCAGCATCTGTGACAGGTGTCAGCTCCTGTTTACCTCCACTGTTGCGGCTACGTGACACATGGACAGATGAGGCTGCTAAAGTTTGGCAGGAATTGTCCTCTATGGGTCAATGGTTTCAGGTT